GACTAGCTTAAAATTGTTTTTAAAAAGGAGATCAAAGATACTTTATTTCAAAACCCCAAAACCCCAAAACCCCAAAACCCCAAGCTGATCAATAAGCTTTATTGAGTAGTATTGAAGCATTAAATAATTAGAAGCTGGTATAATAGATTATTTATAAACTATGATGAAACTTAAACTTCGAATGACACGTTTCCTCTTATACTCAGTTATATTGCTTTTAGGGGTTAGTGTAAGATTCAATCATCTCAATAATTTTCTAATCTTTTGAAATTTAGACAATTGTATCTGGGGATTGTAGTCAAAACGATTAAAATCAATGCAATAATGACTAAAACAAAAAGGTATTTCCTTAACAAATGGCTTATCTTAACTATTTATCAGATATCTATAAAGAACTATGAAACTTTGTTCCTAGTGGAATATATGAGACATGGTGCTAGATCTCATTATGAAGATAATGTACCGAAAGAATTCTTTGATGGTGTTGGAAAAGGCCATTTGACTCGTAGAGGCAGAATTGATCAACTTAGAGTAGGGTAAGCACGTCGTAGAGAATATATCGAACAAAAGAAACTACTAAGTCCATCATACAATCCAAAGGAAATATTCTCAATTTCCACTTTCAAAAAACGTTGCATTGATAGTGGTAGACATTTCCTACAGGGTCTCTACCCATTGTAAGAGCATAAATTTTAAGAGGACTTTTGGCACCAAAAAGATGAAAACAGTCCTCTATAAGGTACAATGTATGATAGAGTACTCTCAATTATTGAAGATCACTATAAGCAATGCTTTGCTGGACCTGTTATTGAAATTGATCACATATCTGATCTAATGATGCATACTAGAAACTGCAGAACTTTGCATAAATATCTGAATCAAGATTTGTTTGATGTTCAAATGCTTGAAAACATGATGCAGTAATATTTTGGAGAGGAAACAATTAACTCTACTAGAGCCATTATGGAAAACTACTTTGAAAAAAATATCACAAAGCTAAGACAGTATTTTACATTATTAGATGCAACTGTTGCTGAGCATTATTAAACTGAAGATCCAAGTATAAGACACTTCTAAAGACAAGAGTGTTTCATTCTAGCAAATAACTTTGTAGGTCCTGAGACAATCCACGCTGATATCTTTGTGAGCAGAGTTTTAGTCCCAACTTTTGAACTCCTTGAAAAAGCTATAAAAAACAAAGACACCAATACTCCTTTTGATTTGAAATTCCTTCAAGTCACTTTCCATGATACAAATCTTTCTAATCTTCTCAGATTCTTGAAGTATTTCGACACTTATGGCTTTGATAAATTCGTTAGATTTTCATCGTCACTTAGAATTGAACTTTTAAGAGATATCAACGACCCTGCTGTTCAAGATTAATAAAACTTTTCAGAGTACAGATTCAGGGTTAACTTTGATAATGAAGATTTGAAATTGCCATTCTGTACTGACCTCTACTGTAGCTATGATGAATTTATGACATACATGAGACAGAACTTGATCTTTGATTATGAAGAGGTTGAAAAGTACTGTGATGGTAAAATGGGAAGTGAGTACGTAAATGAGCTCAAATTCAAGTGAGTTATCAGCATTGTAAAGAACAAAATCATCAAAACTATAATACAGTTAATAATAACTTCAATTTATCAGATTTACATCTTTTTAAACATTTATATAATGCGGGGTTTTGGGGTTTTGGGGTTTTGGGG